AGCCTTTGCTTCTGCCAAAAGTTATCTGGGTTCAAGACCAGTTGGAAATCAGTTTTTGAAATTCCGATTTTCATATCACACAACCAGCTGCATCCAATTTGTACCAATGCGCGGTGATCCTGTCCGAAAATGTGCAAAAGAACAGTGTGAATATTTCGCCTTGTTCTATCAACAACTATCGTTTAGTAATAGAAACCCGATGAGAACAATATGGATCTCCTTCAAGTGATAAACCACGACTACATTTTAACTGAAGTTTACTTAATAAAAGGCATAAGAGCCACTCAATATAAGGAGATACCGGATGAAGAGGAGGAAGTAACGGGTGATGAATATTGAGGACAGGGATGATGAATAAGATTGATCCTTGACTTAAAGAGCTTAACACTGGGGTGATCTGAGAAACATTCATATGCGAATTTCTTTCACGTCCGTCTTGGGTAAAAACTGCCGAGTGGAACATTTATCTGTAAATAATTGATCAGCATCGATGCAATTCCTTTTCTCGGTTATATATCTTTGTACATTAGCAGATGTTCTGTGATGAAAACACTTCATAAACATCAATGTAATTCTCTATTGTAAATCTTACTTAGCAATTATACAGAAAGTATCTGATTTAATTATTTTCATTATCATATGACTTGATCCGGATGAATGCAATTCTCTGTTGTAAATGTTAGTTAACAGTAATTAGTGAATTATTTAAATACCGTTGTCTCCCGATGAAAGGACTTTTTCAACATTGAAGCAATTATGCATTATTATGCATAAGTAAATTGAAAGTAATTATGCATAATTAAATATTAATTATCAGTTATTCTAGAATTAACAGATTATGACGATCAAAAGACTTCATTGGGGTATTTTTAAGTGCGCCCACATTGCAATCGAATGTGACACAAGGTCAGTTTAAAGTGAGTTTAACTGTAATACCGTGGAAATATTTCACAAGCCCCCTTGACGCTACACCTTTTGGAGACGCCTCAGGCAGCGGGCAATAAACCCAAGAAGAGAGGTGCTGCCTAGGGGTGGGGGAATGCGAACTTTTACATCATCGACGCAATAATATACTGTAGGAATAAGTTATTAGATATTTTTTAATACTATTGTTCACCAAGTTCAAGGCCCAAGAGCAACTCAAGACTTACTAAATGTTGTAAGGGCATAAAGAGAGGAGAAAGCTATGCATATTATGAGGATATGCAAGAGAGATAAATGTTTAACTCGAGAATTGACGTAGTTAATATTGTAGTAGTCGGGGAAGTATCCTTTTAGCAGTCTAATATACAAAGTGACAGTTCTGGGGGAAGAATATATCTGAGTGGAACTTCCTCCTTGTCAATGAAATACGAAGAGAATGAGGATGATCTGATGCTGGGAATGTTTCATGGCCGGCCCTAGCTGTGAAGGTCTGAACTGGCGGAACTAACGAATGTAGCCATAGAAATAGTGTGAGAGTAGCGAGAGGCTAGCAACGCTTCGTCCATGGAAAACGTTTTCAGGATGGAATATAATTCATCGCCCTCAAAGCCGCGTAATCGCTTTTGAATTATGCCTAGGGTGGACAATGAGGACTGGGCCACACCAGCCCATATATGGCAGCAATACACCATGTGCTTACAAGAAACCGAGGTCGAGTGTGACCTTTAATCCAAATAGACCTTCGTGCCTCAATGAGAGCACAGCCGCTCTTTGTTCCGATTCATTTTAACCAGTACGGATCTTGCTTCAGATACTAATATTTCAAATGATACTTATCAGTTATTTTATTCAACATTTTAATCATTTCAGTCCAAGCAAGGCGATAAAGACACGAAGACACAAAGGTTTACCAAGTTTGAAAGAAACTGAAAAATATTGCAGGGGTGAAAGAACAACAAAAAGAACAAGATACATAAAGACAGAAGATAATAACTGACTTTCTAATTAAATTTTTAAAAATCATAGTTGACGGGAGAGCAAGAAGATAGAAGAGAGTTGCATCGGCGAGAACATACGCTTACACTTAGCAGTTTTAACATTACAAGGATGAGACCTAGTTGCCAATCTAGTACTGCGCTTAAATTCATGAAGTCGCGGTACGAAAAGAGAATTGCTCATAACAATTATCATGAAAATATTTATTTAAAATGCTCAGGGAAGCTAAGTTACGGAAACTCATTGATGCCGAGAGGAAACTGTGGAGAACAATGATCGCCTACCTCCTTAAGGAACAAAACACATAAAGAAGACCATCTCTTTGTCAAGGATGATCATTGCAAGATATAAGAGTCAGACTGAGTTGTTTACTAAACAACTATGGCTCTTTAAACCTGACAAACGTTTAAAACCTCTAGCAAAATGTTGAAAGATATATATATATAAATATATATATATATATATATATATATATATATATAAATATATATATATATAAAAGTGAACATAGAAGTCAACACTTAGAGGCGACAGTCTGTTTCATACTATATGCAATTGTCTGTTTTGTTGTCATTAGGTATACTTTTTTGCTAATATATACAGTTTTTACGCCCACCAGATGAGTTGCACACTTTTACACAAATGTGACATGAATTGTTATTATTTAATGCCATTACTTTTATTACCAGTGATCTGGTATTATGTGACTCATTTTTTCTGTTTTACTCAATCAATATGTCTATATTCTTTAGAAGTTCCACCATGACTTTTTCGGAGAAACACTTCTTTTCCATATACTTTTATAGAAAAATAACTAGTTACTGTTATCTTGAGGAAAATCTAAATTTGCTATATTAAAGTTCACATGAGAGCCACTCAATGTAGAGCGTTACTAAATGAGGTGTGTGATATAATTGTAAGAGGAGATAGAAGGAAGATAAGACGATGAGGAATAAGGAGGATAGATATTGATTGACTCTTAACTTTAAAAAGTTTAAGATTATAGTGTTCAGGGAAGCATCCACGCAGGGGTATATTGCAAAGTGTAGCATAACTCAGGAAAAATCTGCCTGGGTGGAACTTCCTCCTTACTAGTGGAATATGGAGGAAATGTCGTTGATTTGATTTTGTGCATGCTGCATAACCACTCCGGGATATATATGTTTGAATATATGAAACATACCCAAAAAGAGGTCTTAAACCATAATAAATATCTTTTTGCTAAAATAATTATTCAAATAATTTAATTAACTGTTTTATTAAAGGTACCGCGTCACCGAATCTATTTTAGTTTATATATATATATATATATATATATACTTGCTGTAACAGCAAAATTGTCCAAAACACGTAAAAGGAAAATTTGTCATTAATTAGATTAAGCTTTAAATTCACCGATATTTTGTATAATACTATTTGACTCTTAATATTGTGTGTGTGCTATATTTATGGGATAAAGTGCTGAATATCAGAGATAGAGCGTATATAAATATTAACATAAAAATGAACATTGAAGTCAGCATTCAGAGGCGACAGGCTGTTTCATGCTAGACGCAGTCGTCAAAAACCCCACGATTGCGTCTAGCATAAAACAGCCTGTCGACTCTGAGTGTTGACTTCAATGTTTCTTTATATATATATATATATATATATATATATATATATATATATATATATATGTGTGTGTGTGTGTGTGTGTGTAAAAATATATAGAAAATAGAAAAGAACTCGTTGGGTAAATAATCCAAAGCTTTTTAGTATTTTTTTGTTATTATTTTTTAAAATAGTGCTCGATACAAAATTAGAGTATAAATATAATTATTTATTTAAAATATGATTCCAACGCTACATAAGAGTTTTCATGTTTCAAAACAAGAGCCGAAAACTTCAATATAATTATTTGAATTAAATTGAATTAAAGTACCAAGCTCTGTTCCATCTTCAAGCGAAATGATATATGATTCCCCAAAAAAATTCACTTGAAGATGGAACAGAGCTTGGTATTTTAATAAAAATTTAATTCAAATAATTATATTGGCTCTTGTTTTGAAACATGAGAACTCTTATGTAGCGTTGGAATCATATTTTCAAATAAAATAATATATATATATATATATATATATATATATATATATATATATATATATAAACTTAATTTCAATTCTTCATGAGCTTACAATCGTTAGATAGGATAGAGTGAAATAGAGTTATAAAAACATTTCAGAGTATCTTTTAAATTTCTAATATATATATATATATATATATATATATATAATATATATTATATATATATATATATATGTATATATATATATATCCAGGATAATTTTCCAACTTATTTAAGATGATCTTTGGCCTTCATGACCTTCTAACTTTCTCTCCTGGAGTAACAAGATGCCGCACACGTTTCACATACAATTTCAAGTCTTTTTTCACTGCTCTTTGGAATGCCATAGATGAAACTCCTCTCCCACATGCCAAATGCCTTATGGATTGAATTGGATCAATATTTTTTCTTTTTATCTGAAATCATTTCCAAAAGCATTATTTAGATTTTAAATTACGTTCTTTTCATTCTCATTTGCAGTGTGTTTGATTTAGGATTAGGCCGATTAATTGGTTGAGTTAAGATTGCACCGATTAATCAGTTGAATTAGAATTGTACCTATTAATCGGTTGATTAATCGGTTGATTAATCGGTAACGTATTCACTCCTAATAATGATAGGCTATATTGATTGATTTGTTTTTTACGGTTTATCAACCCTTTCTATGTTATTTAAAACGAAACATATTCTGGATTGTAAGACAAATTCACTTTTGCGAGGGAATATTACATTAACAATTTTTTTAGAATAGCAATGATATTTTCCAGACCTACTATTTAACTCATAGTTGGGGGGAATGATGAATCCATGCCCTTTCCAATGGTATGTATCCGTAAGTGAATGTAACAAAACCGAGAGAAATCCGAACCCGGTTCTCCGATTTCTCATTCTAAGCCATTAGTAATAATTAATAAAAAAAAATGAAAGAAAATTATCAGAACATCATTTAAATTCCTTCCATGCCTGATAACAAATGATTCTTAAATCAAGTATGAATTATTCTGTGATGTAAGAAATTATGATGGCCGAGTATAAAAACCGATTAATCGGCAAATGTTAATATGGCCGCTTTATCAGCCGATTAATTAGTAGAACCAAACTTTGATTGGCAAATTAAGAACACTGAGTGCAACCCTCTCACTTTTGTCCTCCTCTCTCTGTTTCTCTCTTCCTCTCTTTTGTTAGATGTGCTTCATTTCTTTTTGCTCTTTTCTACTCTCCTTTATTCTTTATTAGCTCTCTCTCTCTCTCTCTCTCTCTCTCTTTTTCTCTCTCTGTGCCTTTTATTTATCGCCTTTTTTCTCCTTCATTATTTATCATTATTCTTCCCCTATTTCAGTTTATCTCTTCTCTCTATTTTGCTTCTTCTCTGTCCCTTTCTCTCTTTCCTCCTCCAACTCGCTTGTCCGACTTTTACTTTTCTGTCTTACTCCTCTCAGTCCAATTTGTTCCCTTTTTCTTTTCCTCGCTGTCATTTCTATTCTTTCTTTTTCATCACTCCTTCATTCTCTCTCTCATTCGCTTTCCCTCTATCTCGTTTTTGCATTAACTTTTACTTTTCCTGCTCTCTCTCTATATATATATATATATATATATATATATATATATATATATATATCTTTCTCTCTCACTCAATTGTCTTTAGTGCTCTTTTTCTATACTTTCTTTTTTGTTTCTCTTTCATTTTTCTTTTGTGTGCGCCTTTCTTTCTCTCTCTTTCTTTCTCTCACGCATACACATACGCATATACCTAATCTCTCTTTCTTTTGTCTATTGTTCTTTTCTTTCCTTCCCGCTTACGTAATTTTCTTCTTTCTTTCTTCTTCGCACTCTCTCATTATGTCACTCTCTTGTTTTATCCCTCTTTATTTCCTTCGTCTTTTCTTTCTCCTCTTTTCTCTCTTTTTTTTCATTTTTCTTAGTCACTCCCTTGTTGCTTTGTTTTCTCTCATTCACTCTCTTTTCCCGACATCTCTCTCTAACCTAACAGTTCTTTCTAATATTCTTTCTTTTTTGTCTTTTTTCCTTTCTCTTTCAAACTCTCTTTTTCATGCTTGCCTCTTTCTCAATCACTATCTTACATATTCTACCTTTTATCTCTATAACACTTTCTTTCTTTTTCTTTCTACTCTGGTCTTTCCATTTTTCTTTCATACTCTCTTTTCATCCTTGCCTTTCTCTCTCTTATTCACTCTCTTAAATACCCTCCTTCTCTCTCTAACATTCTTCCATTCTTTTTTCCTTTTTCTTTTCTTTCCTCTTTCATATTCCCTCTTTCATCCTTGCCTTTCTCTCTCTTATTCACTCTTTTAAATACCCTCCTTCTCTCTCTACCATTCTTCCATTCTTTTTTCCTTTTTCTTTTCTTTCCTCTTTCATATTCTCTCTTTTCATGCTTGCCTTTCTCTCTTATTCACTCTCTTAAATACCCCCTTCTCTCTCTAACATTTTTTTTCTTTCTTCTTTCCTTTTCTTTTCTTTCCTCTTTCATATTCTCTCTTTTCATGCTTGCCTTTCTCTCTTATTCACTCTCTTAAATACCCCCCTTCTCTCTCTAACATTTTTTCTTTCTTTCTTCTTTCCTTTTTCTTTTCTTTCCTCTTTCATATTCTCTCTTTTCATGCTTGCCTTTTCCTCTCATATTCACTCTCTTAAATACCCCCCTTCTCTCTCTAACATTTTTTCTTTCTTTCTTCTTTCCTTTTTCTTTTCTTTCCTCTTTCATATTCTCTCTTTTCATGCTTGCCTTTCTCTCTTTTATTTACTCTCTTAAATACACTCCTTCTCTCTCTAACATTCTTTCTTTCTTTGATCTTTCCTTTCTTTTGCTTTTTTTTTTCTCCTTCCTCATTCAGATTCTCTCTTTTCATGCTTGCTTTTCGCTCATTCTGTTCGCTTCTTCCCTGTCTAAGACATTCCCTTTCTTTGCTTGGTTCGTTGGTTCGTTCTCTCTTTTAATTATCCCTGCTTGATTCACTGGTCAGAGTGAACACACCCTGAACTGTTGACATGTCCCAGGTTTAAGGAACAATAAACTCTTTATGAAGACTAAATAAACGAAAATCCATTTTGATGGTGATATTACTGATAGCCTCAAATATGATATCTTATCGCAGTGGTTTCACGTGAGAATGGAATGTCTATTTTCTTCTTTTTTCAAGTAACAGCGTGGGAATCAATTTTGCTAAGGTGCGTTACACGGCGGCTCCCATTTCGTTCGTTTTTGCACATGCTTGCCAGGGTCTCAGCAAGGACGACTACTTTGATGTCTCTATACGCATGGATAGGTCTTTATCGACCTGTATTTATGGTAAATCGAAAGTATAATCACCTTTCTTATGGTTAGAATTACAAACTTTTCATCATTGAATATTTCTGGTGTTGAACATAATCTCCTTTTCTAAGCGAGTAGCGGACATTAATGTATATCTGTCCAAAATACCTCTGCCGGCCTGCATTTGGAGATTTGTCTTCAACTAGACTGGTTAAGCTCTCTGCATCCGAACAGAGAGCATCCCCAGATGGAGCTATGTCGAAAGGCGGAGCCTAGTCTCGGGAAACACCAACCCGACCCAGTTTTATACGGGGCCAACGGGAAGTTTTTGGCTGAGCCCACGGGCTCGGGTTACCCTTGTGCCACAACTGACCGCGTGGGGCGGTTGGTAAATATTGTCCAAAATACCTCACAACAGTGTAAAACTTACGATTATACTTTATATCTACAAGCGAACAGTTCTACCATTTTATATCTCTATATTTTCTTAATTAACTTTACAATATCACAGTTTAAAAAATTTTAAACTGTGGTCTTATAAAGGTAATTAATAATACATAGAGTAGTATTCGTGAAATCAAAATAGTATTTACTGAACTCTTCCATTCTTCTCGTCGGGTAAATCCATCCACAATTATAATCACAGACATACATACACACATACACATATTATATATAAATTCATGTGAATATATATGTATAAAATGAATTCATATAAATATCTATATATGTGTATGGTTATATATATATATATATATATATATATATCAAAGAATGAGATATGGAGAAAAAGAAAAGCATTATTTTTCCATATTTCATTCTCTGATAAACCTTTAATAAAGAGAAATATATATATAAATATATATATATATATATATATATATATATATATAAATATAGATAGATGATAGATAGATAGATAATATTAGTTGTAAATATACACATACATATGCAAAATATATACATATATATACATACATGCATACCCATACATATATATATTTGGAATAGAAAAATTCCAAGAGGATAGAATCCAGGTAGAACTCAATGTCCAGGACAGAGTAAGGATATAATAAAAGGCTTATTAGTGTTTAAGCTTTTTTTATATATATATATATATATATATATATATATATATATATATATATATATGACAATGAATTATTCATACAAAATTAGTCAGTAATGTTAATGATATGAAATGGCGAAATGCTTCGCTAACAAAATTTTGAAAGTGCATTAACCTACCAATCACTCAATGAATGTTATGATTCTTGTTTTTTTTTTATAAACTGTATAAGGTCTTTCTTAAATACGCAAGTACTTTCGACTGTACATTCTACCGAATTTGGCATCGATAATCGTTCGGTAAGGTGTATTTTGAATGAAGAACTGCATTTTCACTCCTACAAATTATTCATTGGACAACATTTGTGTTATACTAGATCATACCTATTCCATTGTAAATAGACTCTCCCACAGATAATAAGTAGTAGTGGTAGCAGTCGCAGGGGGCAGAGTGAGTTGTGTGAGTTAGTCGATGTCGAACATTAAAGTATGAGACCACAACTAGATTGCTGCGTCATTAACTATTATTTCAAGTTCTTAACGTTTTGTATGTCGAACCTAATTTAGGACCGACTTAGTGAAATACAAGCCTCCACTGTGAAAATTACTCTACAACAATTTGATACCAGGGGACTATGCATAGCGGCTTAAATTCGAACGTAAGATGGAAGCAATTTTTGAGGCATTTTGTTAATTAATAATAAGGCTCATTTTCGTCGTAATGGCAAGTAGAATCAACAGGATTATTGTTATTGGGCTCTTGAAAATCCGAGGGTACTGTACAATAGAACCCTGTCCATCCCAAAAGGGAGGGTTTGCTGTACTGTTGGAAAAACATCATTGGTCTTTACTTTTTGAAGACCATAATGGAAATGCTGTGAGTGTTACATCGAGATAATAAACAACTTCTTTCTTAAGACGAAAACGTATTCCTATCTGATGTGTGTGGTTTCAGCAGGATGGGGCGACGGCCCACACATCCAGATTACCAATGGACGTTCTACCCCCTCATTTCGGTGACCGCCTCATTTCTAGGTTTGCTAAAACTTCATGGCTCCCACAATCCCCTGATTTTTCCATTTGAGATTATTTCTTGTGGCGAAACCACCTTAAGGCATATATGTAGGAGCATAAGCACCGCACACTGGACGAAGGAAGCTATTCGCGTAGAAGTCGCTCAAATCGACACAGCAATTCTGGAAAGAGTGGAGGCCAACTTCCAAGAACGCCTTCAGAAATGCATCAAGGAAAACGGACAGCACATTGCGGGAGGGGGGTGTTGTTTTCCACATTTGATTTTGTCAAATTGATGTTAATAACATTTTTTGAAGCTAAAATTAATGATGTGAATTTTTAAAAAGGTCCTTCCTCACTGTCTCACCCTGTATATGAATATATATGAATATATATGTAGATGAATATATAGATGTACTTACAGATGAATTGACTATATATATATATATATATATATATATATATATATATATATATATATATATATATATATATATATATATATATATAAAGAGAAAGAGAGAGATGTGTGTACATTACTTAATCATTATTTTTAGTGGATACGCGTATTTAATAGATGCTCTGTTTTTGTTTTTGTTTTTAACAGTACATCTATTTTTGTCTACCGCCCTGAATATTCGAAAAATCTTATTAGAGAAAAATATATATTTCTCTTAAAATGTATATAACATTATTACGGAAAAAATATATAATCCGATTAGAGAGAAATATATTTTTCCCTAATAAAAAAATATAAAATATATATATAAATCATATATATAAATCATATATATATATATATATATATATATATATATATATATATATATATATATATATACAATTATTTTTTATAAACAAAAATTATAACATAAGTATGTTATAAAATCACTACAAAAATAGCCATTCATTCCGTATATACCAATTATATACTTGGTATAAATATATATATATATATATATATATATATATATATATATATATACAATGTAAAAAATATATATATGTGTGTGTGTATATATATATATATATATATATATATATATATATATATATATATATATATATATATTGTTTGTGGGGGGTGTACAGGTGTCCATAAAGTTCGTATGCACGTTAAATTTAAAAACTTTAAATGCACATGAACTTTTGGGACATATATATATATATATATATATATATATATATATATATATATATATATATATGATAGTCGAGCTAACAACACAAATAGGGCCTGTTTGCTTCTTATAATTTATCATTGGTACCCTTTTTCTGGTCAGTTAGAAACAGATGAGGATGAAGACTAAAGAAAAATGCTGCATGTAATTTTTTAGGTGAATCAGGCTGAGACTAAAGAAGAGTGAAACGCTGTTCAGGTCATCTTACCTGAGTTGTGTCTTGTTTCATGAGTCTATACTACCAATTCTATGTATTTATATCCCATGCTAAAGCATAGTTGGAAAAACATGACCTTTTAAAGAATGTTAGCGGGAAATTTCCTGGCTGTGAATTTTTTTTTTTTTTACAAATCTCACGAAGCAGATTTCAATCTCGACAGGGTATAAAAACGCTTGAATATTTGTATTGTCAAATCTGTATAGATCCCTTACAGCTGAAGGAAGGAAGGGAAAATTCGGGATGTTATGAAACGAGAAAATGCACACTATTTACTTTATTCAGACTATTGTCATCATATTTGTCGCCATATTTATTACAACGTTTCGGCCGTTGTACGCTCCGTCCTTCTTCATGTGGTTGGAATGTCGAACTAAACCCTTTATCACTGGGGTACATTGTTCTAGTTCTACGTGCCATGTCTAATGGATGTCAGTAATAAGGAGTGACAGAGAAAAGCGATAACAACAAAAATTGCAAATGAACTCTAGTAAAAATATGAAATGATAACAGCAAATATTGCAATATGAGCACTGGTAAAAAATGTTTGCTGAAGACA